CACTGTAGACACCATCGACCCCGAATCCAACAGACATTTCACCTCTACACCTGCTAACTTAACAAGTACCTGAGGACAGGGAGCGATCAACCTATCCACCCTTGCCCTATCCACCAAGCCATCATCCTTTGAGCCAGTAGCATCCGCTCCTAGTGGTTGGCTCTGCACACTAGAGGGAGCTAGTTTTCCGCCAGTGGAAAACTAGGAATGGCAGTCATAGTAGAAGGAGCATGACCAGAATTAGAATTTTGAAACTAGGAATAGCAGTCATAGTAGAAGGAGCATGACCAGAATTAGAATTTTGAAATTGAACCCACTCATTATCACAATCTTTTGCATAATGACCAGCCTTCTGGCATCACCTGCAAATTACATTTGAACAATCTGTCCTAACTGGACGTGTGGGTGTTTGCAACTTTTACAAGCCCTGTGTCAACTGATCAATTTGTTCCTGCTGCTTCTGTAACATGTTTGCAATTCAACAATTTGGGTTACAGTAGAACTAGGCGAGCAGTTGGCTAAACCTTTAATACCAACGCTTTGTACAGTGCAGAGGGGGGAAGCAAGGTAACCACTACCTGTAGTGTTGAACCTACCCTCACGCTCCCACCTTCTGCCCAAACATCCAAAACAGAAAGCCCTGGATCATTGCGAGCCAGCCACTTCATTAACATTTTCTACAAACTGATCACGAAGCAACACAGCAGTTAGCCATCCTACCAGGGGCACTAGCGACAACCTTGTCCATTAATGCACACAAAGCATAGGAATACTCTTGCAAGGATTCACCTTCAAGTTGTTTACGTGAGAAAAAGTTCTCCTGTAGTAAACATAAGATTTAGAATGCCCATACAACTCCTGCAAGACAGTCAAAATGCACTCTGGGTCCTCCCGTTCAGCCCTAGGCCAATATTGAATTTCATCCTTAGGTTCTCCCTCAAGATGATAAAAAAAAACTACTTGATCTGAGGGCCCAGAGCATCTAGCTCTCATGCTAGCTTGAATTTCCTCTACCCACTCATCTATGCCAATACCACGAGTTCCTCTAAACACAGGGCACTTTTTTTCTCTAGGGACAAAAAGAATGTGTTCAGAAACAACAAGCTGGTCCACAGCTGAACAAGTTCCAGATGAAGATTCACCACTAGGCCCTGGTTGCGGGTCAGCTCTTTCTGCTTCCAGCTGATGCGCCAATTCCCATGACTCCTGCAGTTCATTGACCTTGGCAATACTAGAGGGCGAGGAATACTGCTGCTACAGGCCCAATATTTCCAGCTTGTCCACCTGTCGCACGTAAAGCACACTGCTGCTTTGCCTTACAAACTTCACGTTAGCTTAAAACCACATAAAACCACAATTACAATGAATCAATCAAACCATGTCTCTGTGCTGCAGATCCTGCCAACAATGCCAAAATTGTGACCGGGCCAATATGCAGGCCTATGTAACCCAGACACTAATAAGTTTTAGTACATCTCAAACCCAAAGAATATCATCCCTCCCATTTCAAGAGGTCAAATGTGTACAGACTCCACAAGTACTGGGATACCACACACAAATACGTCTGCAAGCACACAGAGACGCTGGGTTTGTCCACAAGAATGAAAATTTATTCATGTCAATGTATAAGTTAACAGTGAAGCAAAGTTTAGGCCTAACACCAGAAGCTAAAATACTACCTTTGAAAAGAAGCTACTCAGCCCCTCAATAAATATAGTGCAGAACAAGGATAAAATGGTCAGAGTGAACAGGTTGGAAAGAAACCATTAAATACCACAACAGTCAATTAATCACAAATCAACAAACCAAATATAAGAGGGTCTTGCCTCCCTGTACATCAAACCATTCACATACTGTTCACACACCATAAAATTGACCAAACCCTAACTTGGGAACAATACCATAGATAGGAGACATAATACTAAGTAAGCTTCTTAACATAAAAGCAGGCAAAGCCAAGCTAAGCAAAAAGAAAAAAAAGAACAGACAAAGCAAAACAAAGCAAAGCAAAGCAGCAGTGGCTATCAAATCTAATATACAATCAGTTCACTTCAGAGGGAGATTCATTTTGAGAACAATCAGCAGTGACTAGCACAGCAAATGCTTATCGCAACGGCTTCTCCACAGGTGGTATTTATATCCATAATCAACACAGCAAATTGCTCACCTGGTAGGTGTGGCCAACTCACCATTTTCAAGTTCAATTTAATTTCATTTTATTTGTATACCGCCAAATCAAAAACGAAAAGCAGCAGACACAAGCATCAAGATACAGCAAATAAAGCAAGGAACAAACAAACACTGGGCAGGTCGATGTTGCCAGTGACTGCTCATCAGAAATGAAGAGCTCCAGAGCCAGGGCTACCTGCAGAAAGATACAGGGAGAGAGAGAGAGGACATACTAAGGGAGAGAGGAGACAGTTAGTAATGTGTAATGGTGGCATATAGATGTGCGCACAGTGAGGACAGAAAAGGAGAATCAATTGAGACACAAAGAAAAGTGATTCCAACTTTCAGAATGATCTGTATTTACAAACCTCAATTCAAATGAAGTTGTGACGTTGTGTAAAGCGTAAATAAAAACAGAATACAATGAATATTTAACTGAATATGCCACAAAGACAAGATATTTAATGTTCAAACTGATAAACTTTATTGTTTTTTGCAAATGTTCACTCATTTTGAAGTTGATGCCTGCAACACGTTCCAAAAGAGCTGGGACAGGGGCAACAAAAGACTGAGAAAGTTGAGTAATGCTCAAAAAACACCTGTTTGGACTATTCCACAGGTGAACAAGTTAACTGGAAACAGGTGAGTGTCATGATTCGGTATAAAAGGAGCATCCAAAAGGGCTCAGTCATTCAAAAGCAAGGATGGGGCATGGTTCACAACTTTGTGAACAACTGGGTGAGCAAATAGTCCAACAGTTTAAAGCAACTTTTTTCAACATAAAATTGCAAGGAATTTAGGTATTTCATCATCTACAGTCCATAATATCATCAAAAGATTCAGAGAATCCAGTGAAATTTCTGCACGTAAATGGCAAGGCTGTAAACCAGCACTGAATGTCCATGACCTTCTATCCTGCAGGCAGCACTGCATTAAAAACAGACATCATTCTGTGAAGGATATGACCATTTGGGCTCAGGAACACTTCAGAAAACCATTGTCAGTTAAGATCCTTAACACAGTTCGTCGCAACATCTACAAGTTCAAATTAAAACTCTACCATGCAAAGCGAAAGCTGTACATCAACAACACCCAGAAACACCACCAGCTTCTCTGGGCCAGAGCACATCTTAGAAAGAGACTGATGCAAAGTGGCAAAGTGTGCTGTGGTCTGACGAGCCACATTTCAAATTGTTTCTGGAAATCATGGACGTCATGCCCGCCAGACTAAAAAGGAAAAGGACCATCCAGATTGTTATCAGTGCAAAGTTCAAAAGTCAGCATCTGTGATGGTATGGGGGTGTGTTAGTGCCCATGGGTAACTGTAGTAAAAGAGTGCGGGTACTAGACTGGCCTGCCTGCAGTCCAGACCCGTCTCCCATTGAAAATGTTTGGCACATTATGAAACGCAAAATACAACGCAGACCCCAGACTGTTGAGCAATCGAAGTTGTAAATCAAGCAAGAATGGGAAAGAATTCCACCTATAAAGCTTCAACAATTAGTGTCCTCAGTTCCAAAATGCTTATTGTGTTGTTAAAAGGAAAGGTGATGTAACACAGTGATAAAAATACCCCTGTCCCAGCTCTTTTGCAATGTGTTGCAGGCATCAAATTCAAAATGAGTAAATATTTGCAAAAAGCAATAAAGTTCTTCAGTTTGAACATTAAATATCTTGTCTTTGTGGTGTATTCAATTAAATATGTGTCAGGTCCGCTCGGCATGACCTGCCTCTCTTCCCCTTTCTCTCTCCTGCTCTCTCTCATCCAGCAGGCTCCGTGACACAGCTGAGATGCATCACCTGCTAATTTACTCTCTGGGTGTAAGGTACAGCTGAGGCACATCCCCTCATTACCTGACCGCTCCCTACTTAAAGCCCTGGCAGACGCTCCTGCCTTGCCAGATCATTGACACTGATACGGTGATGTTATGACATTCATACAGTGATGGTGACTACATTAACAGTGATTCAACATATTGACACTGACACTGATACGGTGAGATCAAGTTTTTATCTTTGATGCCGTGATTATCTCCGGCGACCTACTCTGTTTGCCTGACGGTGAGTGCTGTTCTGTTTGCCTGACGGTGAGTGGTACCTTGATCACCAGCCATGTCCTCTGGTTCCTGGTTCCTGCCATGATTACCTCCGGGCGATCCTCCTGGTTCCTGCTGTTCTCCTGTCTACTCACCTGTCATCCAGGTTCCTGCAGCTTGCCTTCCTACTTACCTGCCCATCTTGGTCTTCTCAGCCTCCACTGCTCAACCCTGGTTTGGACCACGCATAACCCACTGACTTTGTGCACCTATTGTCTGTGTATATAATACAATAAAGACACTTTCCTACTAGCACATGAGTTTGCACCCTGAATCCTGCTTCTCTCTCTCTTTCACCCCCTGATGAGGGACACCCCACCATAACAATATGGGTCAAGAAGGATTTGCAAGTCAATGTATTCTGTTCTTTTTTACATTTTACACAACGTCCCAACTTCATTGGAATTGGGGTTTGTACTTTAACATCAAGGACATATTTGAAAGTCAACTACTTTTCTCAGTTTGGTCTATTCAAAACAGAACGAGAATCTGGGCAGCCTGCTTTAAGTTGATCTTGATTCTTAACTTATAAAGGAGGGAAAAGGAGATTGTGATGTATAATAGGATGTCATCAGCATACAATCTGAATTTATGATGTGTGAATTCAGCGATATCTGAGATGGTAGTGAATTTCCAGAAAGAAGCTACCAAAGTAAAGAGATGTGGGAAAATAACTGAGCTATGTCTAATGATTCTTTGTAAGCTTTTTTGCTACAGCTGGAGCAGCACCCCGAGGCTCCCTGCAGACCAGTGGAGGAAGGTGGGCTCTGTGACCTGTGAGGCCACCCAGGGCTCCCAGACTCCAGTCTCAGAGACTCTGAGGACAGACCAGTGTTCCCAGTACTGACTCACTGGGTTATTTCTACTGCTCCCAGTCTGCACTATCCCTGCCTGCCTGTCTCTTTCTCTCATTACCTGTTTCACCGTTAATGTGTTGTTGCTAATGCTCATGGTTTCAGAAGTTGACTACAACATGACTTTACATCTATATTATAGCAGTTATGTCTATTGACTCACTTTCGTTGGAACAAACACTATATGTTAAAAACATTGGTTAGTGCACAAAATTAAAATAGTAACATTTCTTCTAGAAAACTTTAATAGTTTTAAGACTGTGGATATTCTTCTTCAGTCACTTTTATTTATAATAATCCCCTTTGGTAATATCCAGAGTGAGACAATTTCTACTGAAAATCACTGAGCTCTCTGGTCTTACTATCTGTTATTTATCAAAGTTCAGGTGTCTGCTGTCTGATTGACAACTGTGTGGTCCCTGTCCTCTAAGCTGATTGGTGTA